AGATAGGTGCTTTTTCTATGGAGGAAAAAAGATAGGTGCTTTTTCCAATAAGCACTTGGAATTTTAGTAAAAATTTCAACTTGCTTCTAATAAAATTGCTTCTCACAAAAGAAGCTTAAGCAGTTCCCTTTGGGACTTCTTCATTTCAAATGTGAATGTGAAAGCAAAAGATTCGAATAAGGTTAATCAGAAAGTGAAATGTGAAGGTAGAGACCTCAAGAGAAGCCTGGGCGAGGTGGTGAATGGTGGGCCATTTGCTCATCCAACGATGAAAGTACTGAACAACAGTCTGAACCCTCGTCTGTTGCAGCATCACCTCCGAGACCCACACTCTGTAGGCTCTTCGCTCCACGTCCTCCTCTGCCTCTCTCCAAGGGAGCTCTCTGCGGTTGAGGCCGTACCATTCCAACAGAGCCTTCCTAATTCTCTGGGTCTCCTCTTCGCTGAAGAACAAGTCTTCTATGTCTTGTATTTCTGATTCCTTAGCCGATTGCCGTCGCCTCTGCGTTTGCCTTTGCGGAAGAGACGCTGCTGCTGGCGGTCTTTTATTGGCAACAACTGCTGCATCCTTCTTCTTCCGGCTGCTCCGGCCCGAACTCATTATGTCTTTTTAAAAAATCAAATGGTGTGCCGTTGTAAAAATTCAAATAAAGGCGGATGGGTTCTGGAGAGAGTCTTCAATTCTATGGAGTGTACTCAATTTGGATTTTAACGCATTCCCAAATGAGCTTGAAACTTTTGGGGTATTTAATTAGCATCTTGGAATCTAGTTTTTTTTTTTTTTGTCTTTTTGAACCTTTCCTATTTAGAGAGCACGATAGAATACTAAACTCACACATACAATACGAATACTAGGATTCGAACCCATGACCTTGTCTGGATGAGCAATTACTCCAAACTATTACACTATTGGATCCTTTGCGAGTCTAGTTTAGGTATAGAGGTGTATTCTTTTCTTTTCTTTTTAGTTTTTGGACAACTCGATATTATAAAGTACTGTAATGTATGTGATGGGATGGAATTCAGGTGCAAAGCGATCGATCTACTGAATTGGCCAATTATTTAACCCAAGTTTCCTACTCCAAAAATCATTCATTTTATCAAAAATTTATGAGTGTTGCTAAACAAATCCTAAAATTAATTGAGTACACCATATGATCTAAGTACACCTTAAGATTTTAATCAAAATATAAAATTAACTAACTACACCATATTTAACTATAAAAAATACCCGTGATACACTAGTACACCCTAATACACTCTATCACACAACACCTTAATACCAATCCTAAATCAGGTTTTTCTTTTTATATGAATTCGTGCTCCCTTTTCAGATTTTGGGTTTGCATCAAAATCTTTAATTTTGTGAGTTGTTGTGGGAATAGATTTGCTAGCTCCTTCAATTCAAAGCTTGATTCTTGTATTCTTATTATTTTCTTTCTTTATTTCTTATTTTTGGATTGAACTTGTTGCCCTCCAAATATGTTCTATCATCTTATCAAAATTGTATGGGTTTTTTCTTTTTTATGGATAATGGATCATTATGACCTCCATAGATAGACAGAGAAGTGATTTGAAGCACAAAAGAAGGAACGTTGTTTGGTCACTTGCAATGGATAAGTGTTTAATTGATGCCCTTGTTGTTCAAGCTAGAAACGGAAACAAAATTGACGAATGCTTTAATGAAAATGCCTACATTGCTACTGTATTGCTGTGAACTTTCCTTGCGCCTCAGCCAGTGCTCGATGTGTTGTTCGTTGTGGGCACCAAGCAATACAAAAACTTCTCTACGTTTGATTAGAGTTGAATATGGTAAGTGTGGTGTACTTATTAAAATTCTATTTGTTTCACAATTCAATATATCATTTTTGGTCATTTTATATTAGGATTAATTAGTAATTCAATAAATGCTTTGCTAGTATGGTGTACTCAATTAATTTTAAGGTTCATTTAGTAGCACTTGTTTTAGCAAATGTGACTTTTCTTTGGATGAGGAAATTCAAAAGTTTTGAGGAATTGATAAATACTTTGCTAGTAAGGTGTACTCAGCTAATTTTAGGGTTCGTTTAGTAGCACTTGTAAAGTTTCCTGTTTGGCTAACGGATTTAAATACAAAATTTAACGTTTATAGTTTTGGAATTATAGAAATGACCACTATTTAGATAGAATTTAAAGTCATGGTTTATGACATCCAAATTCCATGTTTTTTCCCACATGAAATTTCTAGAGTTTTTTTTTATAAAAAAAAAAAAAATCCAAACATGGGATTTGGTTTATGTCAATTTAGAAATTTTGACTTTTATCAAAATCCCAAGTTTATTGCCCTCATCCAAAAGCATTATTAAAGAAATTCATGAAATTATGGATTTTAGAAGTCTAATTTGGAAAGAAATTTTAAAAGGTAAAGTTCGGATTTTGGGGAAAGAATCTGAATGTGGAGTGGAATTTTGAAAATAAGGAAGTGTGAACAGAACAACTAAAAAAGAGAACTTTAAATGGTGTGTACTCGTGAGTCAAACAACTAATGCTTGAGATTAACATTGAAAAACCAATCACATATGTCGAACTGAATATGTTTGATTTCCTTTTTCTTTTTAAAAATTCAGTGCTTAATTGAAATGGATTGGTTGAATCAATTCGATGTGTTAAAATTTATATTTGTTGGCTCAATCAAACCAAACCGGTTGCTTTTACTTTTTTTCTTTTTCAAAACTTACCTTTTCCACATGGCTTTATCGTATTAGATGGGCTTAAATCTTATTATAATTCTCCCTACATTACCCACCACATCAGATTTAAAAAAACCTAGCCTTTTTCTCTCTCGTAACTACAACCTATGCTTCTCTCTCTCTCTCTCTCTCAGCCACAACCTTTTATTCCTTCTTCTCACTCTCTTCTCTCTCATAGCCCCAACCTCTTTTTTCCTTTTCCTCTCATAACTGTAACCTCTTATGCCTTCTTCTCTCTCGTAGCGCCTCTATCTCTTTTCTCTGTCTGTCTCTCTCTCTGTCTCTCTGTCTCTCTCTCTCTAAATGTATTCTTCTCTTCTTTCTCTCTTATCAATTAAATCTCACAACACCTTGTCATAGATTTGTCGTTCTCGCTAGATCTTGTGATCCCATGCTAGATCTTGATGTCCTTCGCTAGCTCTCATTGGTCTCTCGCTAGATCTTGTTTGTCCCTTGCTAGATCTCGTCAGATCTCGTTATCTCTCAATAGATCTTGTTGTTTATATCTTGTCGTCCTTTGCTAGACTAGTGGTCCTTCGCTAGATCTCATTGTCTATTGTTAGATCTCGATAAATCTTATCGTCTGTTGCTAGATCTCGTCACCCTCACTAGATCTCGTCGTCTCTCGCTAAATATTGACATCCCTTGCTAGATATTGTTGTCCTTTCCTAGATCTTGCTAAATCTCATTGCTCATCACTAGATCTTGTTGATCATATCTTGTCATCCCTTGCTAGACTAGTCATCCCTTGCTAGATCTCGCTATCCCTCGCTAGATCTCATTGTCCATTGTTAAATCTCAATAAATCTTATCGTCCTTTTTTAGATCTCTTTGTCCCTCGCTAGATCTCACTGTCCCTTGCTAGATCTCGATGTCTCTGGCTAGATCTTGTTGTCCCTCACTAGATCTCGTCATCTCTTGCCAGATCTGACCATCCCTGACCAGATCTTACTATCCCTTACTAGATCTTATCGTTCACCGTCATCCTCACTAGATTTGGTCATAGTTGCTAGTCTCACTAAAAAACAAAATTGATTGACGGAAGTGACACTTCGACGACAATTTCAAGATTTTGTACGTATAACGTCATGGGTTTAGTGCGCAATTCCGACTAGTTGTTCCATTTAATCAAACCGAGCCCATCCACACGCACTACAAATGGTTGTTCATTAATTGCATGCTTAATTAATACTAGGGACACTCCTCAACAGTTGTCTCCAGTGCTGAGTGCAACATCCCACATTAACCAACGGAGAGGGGGTGATGTGCCTTATATGCACATGCCCGCCTCCATTTAGCACGAGGCCTTTTGGGAGCTTGCTGGCTTCGGAGTCATGGGATCTTCGAATTTAAGTGAGTTGTGGCTAGAGTAATTCCAGAATTGGTGACCCACTGGAAAGTTACTCGTGAGCTCCAAGAAACAAAACCGTGAGGGAAAATAGGGAGGCCCAAAGCGGATAATATCGTGCTACTGCAGAGCCGATCCTGGGATGTGAAAATTTGGTATCAGAGCCACTCTATCGTGTAGTGCTAGTGTGCCGACGAGGACGTTAGACCCTTAAGAGGGGTGGATTGTAACATCCCATATCGACCAACGGAGAGGGGGTGATGTGCCTTATATGCACATGCCCGCCTTTATTTAGCACGAGGCTTTTTGGAAGCTCACTAGCTTTGGAGTCATGGGAACTTCGAAGTTAAACGAGTTGATGCTAGAGCAATTCTAGAATGAGTGACCCACTGAAAAGTTACTTGTGAGCTCCCAGAAACAAAACCGTGAGGGCAGAGAGGGCGACCCAAAGTGGACAATATCGTGCTACGGTGGAGTCGATCCCAGGTGTGAAATTGGGACTTTCTGATCTCAGCTTTACCAAATTTAGGGTTCCATTGCCGACAACTCAAAATCGTTGCCAATAGAAAGTAAGAAGTTGAAGAATCACTTACCTTATGAGATCATAGAACAAACCCTCTCCAAGTTGCCAGTCAAATATTTGATTAGATTCAGTTGTGTCTCAAAACACTGGCGTTCTTTGTTGTACGACCGAAGTTTGCTAAATCTCACTTCAAAGAAGCTTCTAAGAAACAAACATTGAGTCCCAGACTCCTCATCTCCACTGCCTCTGATCTTCGATCCGTACACTTTGGAATTGTCGTCGTCTATAGTTGGAGATAATTCTTTGGCCAAAAATCTCAGCTTCTCATTCAAGCAACCTGACCGTACTGTCAATGTACTGGGCTTGTGCAATGGTTTGATATGTGTAGCTCTTGATTTTCATGAATACTTTTACATTTGGAACCCATCCATTGGATTCTTGCATAAATTATCTGACCCAGATTTTGAAAGATATTAAAGGGCTTTACAACTATGGGTTTGGTTATGTATCAGCCACTAATGACTACAAAGTTGTTGTGGCCGCTCAATTGAATGGTCCAAATGACATAAGTGATAGAGACCATGTTGAGGTCTTCTCCTTGAGAGCTAACTCCTGGAAAAAGGTTCAAGCTCTCATATTATCCAATGAGTCGAATCAGAGCGCTCTTTCAAATAAGGCACTGCATTGGTTACACACATTGCTTGGACCATACGGTTACACACAAGTTGTAATTGCTTTTGATTTGGCAAATGAAGAGTTCCAAGAAGTAATGTTGCCTAATTTTGAAGAAGATAGGATAAGTCTCATAAAAGTAGAGGCGCTTTTAGAAGGATTTTTGTGTGCATGGGGTGATGAGGAGCCTGATTTTCAATGTATTGAAATCTGGGTCATGAGAGAATATGATGTGTGTGAATCTTAGACTATGCTTTTTAGGTTTAGGGTTTCCAGTGCCAGGCCGCCACGGGGTTCCTTGCCTATCTTATTTAGGGAAGGTAGTACTATTGTGATGCATTATTGTAATCCCAATAATATGGAATTGATATGTGTAGGGGACTTTTTCTTCCTGCAGCTAATGGGCTGGGCTGCTGCAAAAGGCAGACTGAGGAGATTGCCCCTTTTTCTTTATGTTCGAAAATTAAGCCCCAAAATACCTCGAAAGGGCAGCAAAACCTTAGGAGATATTTTGGATAATCTTCACCAACGAGAATAATGGTGACTTGCAGATAGTTATAGCATGCTTACAGATGGTCTTTTCAGCTCAATATGAGTGACATGTGGCATGGGAGCAAAACCAACATGGGTTTAGCACTAAGAGAGAAATTAGGCTTGGTTTATGAGAAAAGAAAGTGTTTAAGTAAGGAATGAGGTGTTTTGTGAGGCATTTGACTAGG